CCGTTGGGCTGGGCATGGGCAGCAGTTGGTGGAGCATGGCATCGGGGCCTCTAGCACTCAGCTAGCTATCTTGTTGGTTACCCAGTTATATCTCAATACCTGTGAGCGAGAAACTGCAAGGGGCGCCAACTCCCCTGCACCGTTAATGAACCTTGAAAAACCGGCTGCTAAAGGGGAAGAAGCCGGCGCGCACAGCCAGAGCCACACGGCTTCCTTTCTAGGAAATGTCCGGAATAGATGAGTTCCTAGGCAGGAAAGGGAGATGAGCTTCCTGTTGTTAAAAAGAAAAGGCGGCAGCGGTCAGCATCAGGAGCTGACGCTCAGCTCATGCAGCTCCATTCAATGGCGTTTGTTCTAAGAAAGGGCCTCATGGTGGGAGGGAGGGAGGGAGAGCATTATTAGATAGCAACAATCTGTGAAGTTCTAAACACAACCCTGCCTTAAAGGTACGCCCCTCTTTTCCTTTAAAGCTTCGAGGGGCGCTTCGTCAAGAGTGAACTAAGTGGCGCCGGCTCACACCTTTAATCCCAGCACTCTGGAGGCAGAGGCAGATGATTTTCTGAGTTCAAGGCCAGCCTGGTCTACAGAGTGGGTTCCAGGACAGCCAGGGCTACACAGAGAAACCCTGTCTTGCAAAACCAAAAACCAACCAGCCAAACAAAAACAAGAGCAAAATACCAAAATGTGTTCCCGTGAGGATTGATATTTTTGATATAAAAACCAAAGGTTTGGCTGATGTGGTGGTACACACCTTTAACCAACCCCAGCACTCAGGAGACAGAGGCAGGCATAGAGGCCAGCTTGGTTTAACATGGTGCCTTCCAGCCAGGGCTCCATAGTGAGTCCATATCTCAGAACAGCAGTGGCCAGGGAGACTGGAGAGTTGGCTTAACATCTTCTAGAGGACAGGGTTTGAGTCCCAGCACCCACACCATGTGTAATTTTAGTTCCTGATGATCTCATACCTTTTCCTCACTCCTCCAGTCCAGGGCATGCACATAGCGCACATAACATACATCGCAGGCAAAATGCGAAAGCACATAAAATAAAATGATGAATTAAAAACACACACACACACACACACACACACACTCATACATCTTCAGGGTTTGAAATCAGGGTGAGGGCTGGAGAGATGGCTCAGAGGTTAAGAGCACTGTCTGCTCTTCAGGGGTCCTGAGTTCAATTCCCAGCAACCACATGGTGGCTCACAACCATCTGTAAAGAGATCTGGTGCCCTCTTCTGACCTGCAGTCATACATGCTGTATACATGATAAATAAATAAATCTTTAAAAAAAAAAAAAGACAGGGCTGTTGTTTTTGTCTGGCATAAGTCAGGTGAGTTAGGCAGCAAGCCTTTTCAGATTCTGTTTGTTGTCTGCCTCCTGTCCCTCCACAGGGGAACTGGGACGACAGAGGTGGACACCACTCCAGCATCAGGCTTTTACGTGGACTCAAGTGTTTGTACCCACTGAACCATCTCCCCAAGCCCCTGGACACTTTTTAGAAATTCAAAGTGTGGGAAGGAGAAGGTAGCCTGGTGTGGGAGCACTACAGAGTACCCGAGGTCCAGTCCTCAGCCCCAAAGCCTCAGATGCTCCTTCCCCCGGCACCAAGAGCAAGGGAAAAAGAGAAACACAAATTGTCCCCTCTCTGATTCAGAAACACCAAGGCTGCCACAGGGGTGTTTTTTGTCACGAAGCCCTCTGGGTAACACAGGAGTTTGTTTCTACTCAATCATGTGTGTATTTCTTTTTATTTAGATAGTCTTATTCTGTAACCTCTGGCTGGCCTGGGATTCACTATTTAGCCAGTCCGTTCTCAAATTCCTGGCAATCCTCCTGCCTCATCCTCTTGAGAGTTGCAGGGCAATATTTGGAATCCATACTGACGGTGCATCCATGCAGACAGTGATGTCTAGAGCGGAGTGCAAGGGTTCAAACGCTGACTTTGCCACTTTGTGGGCTGTGTTGTGCTCACATTACTCCTGACTTAGGGGCTCAGTTTTCCCAGCTGTAAAATGGGAATAAGGATGTTTTAGAAGATTGCTGTGGATTGTTGAGGACACATGTGACAGAGATGAGGTATTCAACCAGTGTTATTTATTGTAAGTTTTTTTTTTTTTTTCTGAGACAGGGTTTCTCTGTGCAGCCCTGGCTGTCCTGGAACTGACTTGATAGACCAGACTGGCCTCAAATTCAGAGATCCACCTGCCTGGCCTCTTGAGTGCTGGGATTAAAAATATGCACCACCACCGCCGCCTGGCTGACCAAGGTTATTTTCATCATAAGCTATTTTCATTGCCAAATACAAGAAAAAAGAAGTTGTTCAACTCTATGCAATTATTTAGGACCAAGGCAATAAAAACAGGATCAACAGTAGACACAGGGTAATGAACAAAGTATGCATTATAAGGTGTGGTGGTCAAGACTGGAGCCTCGGGCACTTGACGGCCTGAGACAGGAGGTTTCCAACTTCAAAGCCTTTCTGGGCTACAGCGTGAGTTCGAGTCTAGCCCAGGCAACCAAGTGAGATCCTCTCCCAAAATAAAAAGTCCAAAAACAAACAAAAAACCAGGGCTTGGCATGTAGTTTAACAGCAGAGCACCTACCTAGCATGTGCAAGGTCCTGGGTTCAATCCAAGCGCCACAAAACAAGCACACATATGGCAGGTCTGTAAAACACAGCTGGGTATCACGGTGCACACCTTTAATCCCAGCACTCAGGAGGCAGAGGCAGGTGGATCTGAGTTCGAGGCCAGCCTCATCTATACAGGGAGTTCCAAGAAATATGGGACTAGGGCTATACAGAAAGATCCTGTCTCAGAAACAAATGAATAAAATGGAACAAACAAACAAAACAAAGTAATTTCAAGGCAACCCTCCCTTTTGAGAAGTCCACACCAAGTCTTGGATGTACATTCCTTTCCCAACTCAACCTGCTCTCTTTCCTCTCTCCCCACATACTCTACTGTCCTTCAGAAACTTGGTAACTTCGCTTTTTTTTTTTCTTCTTCAAAACCACAATTCCCTTGAGAGTTAAGTCCCACAAGGAAACAGTGGAAACAGAACACACAAGTAAGCGGGTGAGCGGTCACACAGATTCAAAGCGGAACTGCAAATGTTGGGGGCTGACCCCCACAAACAGGAATGTTCCACCAGCAGTGGGCAAATCGTCCTGGTCCCCTGACTCCCTGTGACACCAGCCCTTGGCTGAGCGGTTCCTTCAGGGTGGCTTTTCTGGGTTCTAAAATATGTACAAGGTTCTGCCTGCATGTGTCCCTGCGGGCCAGAAGAGGGCACCAGATCTCATTACAGATGGTTGTGAGCCACCATGTGGGTGCTGGGAATTGAACTCAGGAACTCTGGAAGGGCAGTCAGTGCTCTTAACCTCTGAGCCACCTCTCCAGCCCCCTTTTCTGGGTTCTAGACATCGTGTTCATTCATTCAGGAAAACAGCCAGTATTCTGGAGCTGTCCTAGACTGAGGAGTCCATCTTTAAACTCTTAGGGGAAGGATCAGGTGCCGTGTGCAGGAGAGTGGTGTCTGGAGCACTTGTTTGAGCCTGTGTGCATCAGCAGTAACGGACTTTTTGTCTTTCTCTTTTTCTGTTCTTTTCCAAGGCGGGGTCTCTCTCTGTAGCTCTGGCTGTCCTGGAACTCAGTCTGTAGACCAGGCTCTCTGTCTTTAATCCCAGCACTTGGGAGGCAGAGGCAGGCGGATCTCTGTGAGTTCGAGGCCAGCTTGGGCTACAGAGTGAGTTCCAGGACAGGCAGGGATACACAAAAACCCCGTCTCCATAAAACAAACAAACAAATGCTCAGGTCAACCACTCAGAATTGTCGGCCTGGATTCCCAGAACTCATAAAAAAAAAGGGGGGGGAGGAGGTTGAAAGATCCTCTTTTCGTTTAATTGTTCTTTTTTTCCCCCTTTAACAGTCAGTGATGAATTGATTTCATGTGTCTGGGTTGGTTGCTTGCAGAACTCATGCCTGCAGTGCCTGGGGAACCAGAAGAGGGCGTGAGATCGTCTGGGACTGAAATTACAGACTGCGGTCAGCGACTATGCAGTGCTGGGAACCGAACCCAGGTCCTCAGTTAACAGCAGCCAGCGCTCTTGATGCCTGAACCGTCTTTCCAGCCTCGTCTTTGAGACGGGTTCCACTGTATGGAGTGTAACTGGCCATCCTCCTGCCTCCAAACTCTCAAGGGCTGAGATTACAGCGTGCTCACCTCGCCCAATACCAAAAGTGAAGTTCTAAGGTCCAGAGCTTGGTAAAACTGTGGGAAATGTACGAAAAATCTTCACATTAAGGTCACCAACATTTTCTAGGAGAGAATGCAGTGTAGCCAGATTCGCAAGACAAACTGGTCTCAGAAAACTAACTGCGCATTCGGTAGTATACCAACTGAACAATTTAAAAGTTTTTCTCGTTATGAAAAACAATAACGAAGTCTCCTTATCCTTAAAATATCCACTTCCGATGGCTGAATGTATATAATCAAATTTTTTTTTTCAAGTAATTCAAGAGACGGGAGAAGGGCTCACGCCTTTAATCCCAGCACACAGGAGGCAGAGGCAGGCGGATCTCTCTGAGTTCGAGGCCAGCCTGGGCTACAGAGCTACACAGTGAGTCCCTGTCTCCGAAAGCAAAACAAAACAAAACAAAAAGCAGCTCTCTGTGGCGAATCTGCTGCTGCCAATAACGAGTTCCGGCGGAGGTCGGCGTGAGAAGTCCTCGGTGGCTGGCAAACGGGCGTTGCCAGCGGCCTCCGTCTCGGCGCGGAAAGAACCCGGGACTTGCTGAGGTGAGTGGAAGCTCGGCGGGAACCGGGTCGAGGCGGAGGCGGAGGCGGAGGGGGCGGCCCCGCAGGCCCGGGGGTCGGGAAGGCGCCACGTCCGCGCGTGGCCGGCGCCATGTTGAAGCCTGGCAGAGGCGGAGGCGGGGAGGAGGGAGTGGGGCTAAGGCTTGGGTGGGAGACCGGGCCCGGGTGAGGGACCGGGGAGCCACCCTCCGGGGCTCGTCACGGCCTGGCCGGCCCGGGGACCGGGGACCCCGCTTCTACCGGCACTTCCGCCTCGGCTTCCTCGGCGCCACCGCGCATGCCCGGGGTGGGTTGCTCCTGACCCGTGGCTGTTCTCCTTTTTGTTTGTTTTTTTTTTTTGTTTTGCTCGCACTTGCTAGTTTCTCAAATTCCTGAGACCTCCCTACCTTCGGTGAGGACACTCTATTTATTTATTTGTTTGTTTGTTTGTTTATCTTTCCATTTTCGAGACAGGGTTTCTCTGTGTAGCTTTGGAGCCTGTCCTGGATCTCGCTCTGTAGCCCAGGCTGGCCTTGAACTCACAGAGATCCGCCTGGCTCTGCCTCCTGAGTACTGGGATTAAAGGCGTTCACCACCACCTCCCAGCTTCTTCTTCTTCTTCTTCTTCTTCTTCTTCTTATTATTATTATTATTATTATTATTATTATCATTATTATTACTATTATTATAGAGATGGAGAGCTCATGAATCCCAACTCATTAGATGACCTGACCCCAGATCAGTCTCTCAAGTACTGGGATTACAGACATGGCGCCACCACGCCCTGCCAGCCGGGTCTACTTTAGACGTAATCTCGAAAGGAAAAAAAAATCAAAACAAAACGAAACAAGACAACAAAACACCCTCCTTTAATTCCAGCATTTGAGAGGCAGAGAGGGGCAGGCCGGTTTCTCGGAGTTGGAGGCCAGCCTGGTGTATATCGTGAGTTCCAGGACACCAGGACTCCATAGTGAGACCCTGTCTGAGAAAACAACATAAAATAACCCCCGAAAGTTTATTTGTGCTATATTTCTCATAAATAAGAGACGCCACCCCAAAACTGAGTGAAGGGCTGGGGATGTGGCTCATTTGGTAGAGTGGTTGTCTAGCCCTGGGTTCCAGCTCTGGCTCCCACTAAACTTCATGTCTTGGCCCATGAAGATAGAGGCAAGGAGGATCAGAAGTTAAGGATCCCTGACTCTATAGGAATGTCAAAGCTAGCCTGGACTGTGTGGACAGGGTTTCTCCGTGCAGTTTTGGAGCCTTTCCTGGAACTCACTCTGTAGACCAGGCTGGCCTCGAACTCACAGAGATCCGCTTGGCTCTGCCTCCCGAGTGCTGGGATTAAAGGCGTGCGCCACCACCGCCCCAGCTTTTTTTTTTTTTTTTTTTTTTTTTTTTTTTTGTTTCATAGTCGGTGTTTTAATAGCTACCCTACAATGGAATGAGAGATCATTCTCCTCCCAAGAGCTGATGGCTCAATACAAAGGAATCTCCAGAGAATTCCAGAGCAGGGAGAGGTGGTCATTATGACAGTCTGTTCTGGTTTTCACCTGGAGGAATTCCACGCATCAGGGAGAAAAAGAGCAAAGGGTTAGAGCCAGAGTGCAGGGAAGCCCCCCTTGGGGCCCTGCTGTCTGCCTGTGTGCAATCCTTTTGCTGACAAGGACACCAGGGCCGCCGCTTTGTTGTCAGTGACGAGGTGGCATTATCCTCCTTTTTATAACTCAGTAGAAGGCTGTGTGAGTGATGTTCAGCTTTGAACTAGCCCAGGATGACCTTGGTGTTTTTGCCTCTACTCCGTAAGTGTTGAGATGACAGGTGTGTGCTACCTTGCCCAATTTTTTATTTTTGTTTTGTCTTAAACTTTATTTTTGTGTGTATGGGTATTTTGCCTGCGTGTATATCTGTGCACCACACGCATGTCTGGTATTCACAGACCTCAGAAGAGGGGTTCAGATCTCCTGGAACTGGAATTACAGACCGTTGTGAGCCACCCATATGGGTGCTGGGAACCAGACCTGGGTCCTCTGCAAGAACAGCCTCTTAACTGCTGAGCCATCTCACCAGCCTCTGGCTCTTTGGGGTTTTTGTTTTGTTTTGTTTTGAGACAGGTAGCCCAGACTGGCCTCAAACTTGTGGTAATCCTCCTGCCTCAGCCTCCTGAGTGCTGGGACTACATGTGCATATTATCATGGCCAGGTATTAATATCATTTTTAGGGACGTGGAAAGAGGCTGATAGGAAGGAGCTGCCTTCAGTGTTTCCCAGCAGATTTCAGCATCGGGACCGAAGGGTTAGTGGGCAGTCAGCAGCTTTCTGGAGTGTGACTTAACTATCATGTGTCAGGAGGAGTGAGCTCCAGTGGGACTCGCTTATTCTCCTGGTCAGCACGAATGGGTCACCCTGTCCCTGGTCCTGAGCCCTCTGCCCTCATCATGGGCCGTGAGTTGGTGGCATGTGCCTCTCATCCCAGCACTCAGGGGGGAGAGGCAGGAAGATGCGGGGTTCAGGGCCAGCTTGGGGCTATAAAGGAGGCCTTCTATAGTGAGAGTCGCCCTTCACAAAACGGGGTGACGGACGGCTTTCCACAGCCGTGGTGGGGCTGGAGAAGCTGAGGTGCTTCATGCCTGCTTGCTGTGACTGTTCTAGACCATGAGCGACTGGATGCCCATCGCCAAGGAATATGACCCACTCAAAGCTGGCAGCATCGATGGCACAGATGAGGACCCTCATGACCGGGCTGTGTGGAGGGCCATGCTGGCCCGCTACGTACCCAACAAAGGCGTTACCGGAGACCCCCTCCTTACCCTCTTTGTGGCCCGACTGAACCTGCAAACCAAAGAGGAGAAGTTACAGGAAGTCTTCTCCCGCTATGGTGACATCCGGCGCCTGCGGCTGGTGCGAGATCTGGTGACCGGCTTCTCCAAGGGCTACGCCTTCATCGAGTACAAGGAGGAGCGGGCCCTGCTGAAGGCCTACCGTGACGCTGACGGCCTGGTCATCGACCAGCACGAGATCTTCGTGGACTACGAGCTGGAGCGCACCCTCCGCGGCTGGATCCCTCGGCGGCTGGGCGGGGGGCTGGGCGGGAAAAAGGAATCTGGACAACTGAGGTTCGGGGGCCGGGACCGGCCTTTCCGGAAACCCATCAACCTGCCGGTTGTCAAGAACGAGCCGCACAGAGAAGGCAAAAGAGCAAGGAGGGAGCGCTCTCGATCCCGGGACAGACACTGGGACCCCAGGCCCCGGGAGCGGGACCATGACAGGGGCCGGGAGAAGCGCTGGCCGGAGAGGGAGCTGGCCAGGGTGTGGCCTGAGAATGATTGGGAACGCGAGAGGGAGTTCAGGGAGGACAGGGCCAAAGGCAGGGACAAGAGGGACAGGAGCAAGTAGAGCCAGGGGCAGGCTCTGCAGGCCCCGAGCCTACCCAGAGGCACCCGGGCCATCGGGCCAGGCCAGTTCCCTTTCCGGTACAGAACCCAGGCTCAGGCAGACCTAAGAGCCTGTGCGTTTGCAGTGCTGAGGCTTGACCTGGAGAGCAGGGCATGCTGGGCAATGCTCCACGGGAGGGGACACAACTGTGTGAGAAGTCACCCGTCCCCTGTGGAAATACATTTTTTCACATGCTTGTCCTCCCAGCGCTGGGGCGGTGGAGGCGGGTGTCAAACCAGAGAAAGAAGGGATCATCGAGATTGTGTCTTCTTTCTCACACCCTTTGAGGTGGGGTTCAGTGTTGCAGAGGGGATATAGTGCCTTACAGCCCTCAGATAGCCTGGTGTGGTGGCACACACCCTCATCCTAGCACCGGGGAGGCTGAGGCAGGAGGACTGCGAGTCTGAAGCCAGCCTGGGTCACAAAACAAGACCCCGTCTCAATAACCTACAAGAACTGAATGTAACACTGACATTGGCTCCTGGGGTGCCTTGTCTTTCCCATCTTCATGTTCAGGCTTTGCTGAATTGAAATAAAAACAGGCTAGAAAAGCCCTGGACCAGAACTGTCCGGCCCGTGATAACCAGACAGCGGCAGGCTGAGCGTCTGGGTCAGCAGGCAGCCACTCGCAAGTGGGCAGCATCACCCCCTCTCTGCAGAAATGCTGACTGCCTGCTTTCCCCTGGCTGGCATTTACGGTGCAAAGCAGTCTCGCGGGGCTGTGAGCTGTAGCCGACGACTTTCAGCCCCCTGAAGAGACCTCAGCAGGAGGGAGAGGACAGAATGGGAGGGCCAGGGTCCTAGACTACCCGGAGCTGGTCTGAAGGGTCAGTGTTCCCTTTTTCTGACTATCTGGATTTGGGTCTGCTGGGCAGACTGCTCTCAAGACTTAAAAATCGCCACTGGGGAGCTGGCAAGCTGGCTCAGCATAAAAGTCCACGCTATGTGGACTGGAGAGACGGCTCAGCATGTGAGAGCGCTTGCTGTTCTTGCAGAGGACCTGGGTTTGGTTCCACACAGTGGCTTATACCTGACTGTAATTCCAGTTCTAGGGGATCTGGTCTGATCCCCTCTTCTGGCCTCAGGCACTAGGCATCTGTGTCAACATACAGACACACGGAGGCAGTCACAGAAACACACACAGTATAATCAGATCTCTTTAAAAAATGGTCACACAGCCTAACTGAATCCCCAGAACCCACGGTTGATAGACCCGACTTCTGCGAGTTGTCACGTGAGCTCCACGCGAGCACCATGGCACACACGTCACAAATACAATAGTAAAAGTTGCTACCGGAGCCGAGCCTGGCCTGGTGGCACAAGCCCGTCAACCCAGCACTTTGGGAGACACAGGACGGTTAAGAGTCTGAGGCCAGCTAGGGCCAAATAAAAAGATCCTAGCTTTTAAAAAAAAATGAGTTGCTATCGAATTTTCTACCTCCTGTCAGGAAGTGGCTTGGAACTTCTGATGTCAGTCACATTGGAGCCACAGTGAGACTATAGGCATGCGCCCCCATGCGCACATTCACCCAATTTCTTAGCAAAAATAGTACAATGCACAGGGCACGGTCCCATCCATCATACGATCTTAGGAAGTGCTACCGTCTGATGCCCTGAACCCTGACTGCTCAGTGCATCAGCAGAAAGCACACGGGCCAGCTTCCAGGTCTCCCAATAGCCATGGCAACCGTGGGTCAGCTAGGCATGTGATCCCCAAGCCTCTGCCTATCCCATGCTCTTCCACACCGAGGCTCATGAGCCTGGCAACCCACCTACTTTAAGGCACTGTGTTCTCTGCATAGGACCCGGTATGTCACACAAGGAACATGAAGAGAAGATGACAGGAAAAACACACACAGGAAACAGGCTGATGTCTCATCCTAAACAACTTTGTTTGGTTAGTACTGTGTAGCCCATAGCAGATTCCAAGGCACACCACCTCGGACAGGCTGCCTGGGCCTCTAAGCCTTACCAGGAGCAGCAAGTGACAATCCCACAATTGTGTCCAGCCGATGGCTGGGAGGACTGTGATGATTTTTCTCTTGTGTCCCATCCAAGTTGGGCGGCTCATCCCAGGACTAGAGGCTCCGCCTGTCCGATCCATACATCCTGCACAACCTGCTACCACCAGGGCAACTTCGTAATATAAAACTCTCTTTCCACTGCCTCCCGCTAACATGACAAAGGCCACGAGAAAACAGAACAACTAAACCTAGGAGTCAAACAGCCATGGTAGGTGGTAAGTGATGCGTTCAGCCACGGGAAGCTTGTTACTAAAATTAACGAGGTCTCGCTTCAGATCCTTGTCTCATTAAATATAGGTGCTAAGGGGTCAGAGGCGTTGCGTATAAACTGGGTAGCCCTGCAGATAAATAAACACTTCTTTAGAATCTGGCATCAGTTTCTCATCATCCCTCCTCAAAGCAGGCAGTTCGTTTGAGGGGGTCGATCGATGTCGAGGCAGCCACCCGGGGCAGGCGGCGGGCGGTCCGGGAGGCGGCAGGGTCACAGGTGCTGTAGGGCTTCCTGCCCCTGTTCTGTGTAGCCGTCATCTCGGTGAGTGTTCGCCCACTGGCCAAAGGACTCGTGGATGTGCGTGGGTCTCTGCGAGTTGGCCAGGCGCTTCTTGTCCCGGGAGAAAAAGCTAAACCTTTGGGCAGGGGGAGAGAAAAACAAAGATGGGAATAAGCGCTTGTTGGCTGCTGCTCTCACTACCCCCCCCCCCTTCTTTCAACGCTAGGACACACAGGAACAGACACTGAGGGCAGCAGATCATTCTCAGTATGAGGATGCAGTCAGCGGGGGGCTAGAAAGCACCAGGGCTTCTGGGTGTCAATGCGTCCCAGATCCTTTGCGCTCACACAGAAGGAGCAGTTTGCATGTATGGGACGGGGTGGGGTGGGGTGGGGTGGGGGTGTGGGGGTGGGGCAGGACCTTCCACCTGCCTACTACTAGGGAGATCAAAAACCCCGAAACAAACTGACACAGCTCAGGTCCTCACAAAGGCCAGGTGTAAGGACTCTATGCTCAGCTACACACTCGGCTTAGGAACTTTTTTTCCCCTCATTTTTAGAGATCGGGTCTTAGGTAGCTCAAGCTGGTCTCCAAACTCATTACAGAGCTGAGGATGACCTTGAACTCCTTCTGTCTCTACTTCCCAAGTGCTGGGATTACAGGCATGAGTCACCATGCTTCGTCTATGGGATGCAGGAGATCGAACCCAGGGCCTTGTGCATGCTAGGCAGGCACTGGACCTACTGAGCCCCAGCCCCAGCCTAGAAATTTCTCTAATAAACCTAATGATTCTTTGAAAAAACCTGAAATGTGAGGAAGATGATTCTGAGGCAAACCCATTCTTAATATTCATTCATTCATTCATTCATTCATTCATTCATTCATTCATGTGTATGTATGAGTGTGGGCAGTCAAGTGCCATGGCTCCTGTATGGACATCAGAGGGCAAACAGTGGAGTCAGTTCTCTTCTTCCACTGTGTGGGTGCCCGGGGTTGATCTCAGGTTCTCAGCCTTGCTGGTAGGGGCCTCAATCCACGGAGCCATCTTGCCAGCCCTCAGCCACACATGCTAGGTAAGTGTTCACAATTCCAGTGTGTGAGTGTGTGAATGCATATGTGTGTATGTGTTTGTGTGTGAGTGAGTATGTGAGACTGTAAGCATGTGTGTGTGAGTACGAGTGTGAGAGTGTGTATATGAGTGACAGTGTATGTGAGAGTGAGTGTGTGACTGTGTGTAAGCATGTGTATAAGTGTGTGAGAGTGTATGAGTGAGAGTATGCTTGTATATGTGTGTGTGAGTGTGTGTGTGTGTGTGTGTGTGTGTGTGTGTCTGTCCGTCCGTCCGTGTAGGTCTAGAGTCAGCTTGAGGAAATCAGTTCTCTCCATCCACTCCATCTTAGGTGCCAGGTATTGAACCCGGGTCCACAGGCTTGGCGGCACGCGTGCTTACGCCATCTGCCATCTCACCAACCCTCCGCCCACTGACACTCATCGTACAAGACTCTGCCCAATTGCCCCGGCTGGCTTTTCATTTGTGATCCTCCTGCCTCAACCTCGGGGGGTCATGCTTGGCGGCAGTCACATTAGCCTGCTGGGTCCTCTGCAGACCCCTAAACTTGGTTTGAGTCAGGGTCTCTTGTTCACCGACTGCCACCTCCTCTCTCCTGCCCTCAACAGGAGAGCAGGGAGTCCAGGAGCCCCGGGGTCTGACTTGACACGGGTCCTGGAGATCCGAACTCAGGTCCTCACATCTGCCGACCTCCCGGTCCCAGGGGTTTTGTTACAATCGCGTCTAGGGAAGACGATGTTCCCCTTCCGGGGGGGCCTGGAGCTACACTTCCTTTCCAGCGGGAATAGAATGTTCTTTCATGCTTGAGCCAAGTTCACCTGGGGCAATTCACTAGGGCTTTGAAGGGCAAGTGTGAGCCGGCAAGTCGCGGGGAGGGTTCACCCTGAACAGGAGGGCTCTTTCTGACACGGAGCAGCCGCGGAGTTAGCTAGCTAGCCCAGGGCTGCAGCCTCCTCCCTGTGGCGTCTCAGCCTGACTTCGGAAAGCCACCTGCAGATCCCAGCCCCCCTCCCCCCACTTTTCTGCACCAGACCGAACAGCTGCCAAGACAAAGCTGTTTAGAAAGCTTCAGCGCGGGAGAGGGAGAAAGCGGGTTAGTGTCACTCTCGGCTCCCCCCGGGGTGGGGGCGGGGGGCATCGATTACTGACCCGTCACTTAAAGGACCTTCTTTACTGGATCATGGACAAGGTGGTTTTTAGAGCCAAAACAGAAGAGACAGAAAGAATTATCGGTGACACTCGTGGAGGTCAAGAGCTGCGGTGGCAATCACACTCCACACCCACTTGAGATGCCAACAAGCAGGTGACGGCCATGCAACTGAAGTGGCCACAGGGGACAGGCTGGCGGAAGCCACCACAGCCAATCTAAAGGCACAGCAAAAAAAGAAAACCCAGAAAAACACCCCCAAACACAGACAGTGCCTACAAGGGACACGAGTCTTCGCACAGGCTGCAACGTGGGGTCATCAAGGATCAATCCAGCTGCCACCATGGGCATGACGGCTGTAAAGAGCCTGCTTCCAGAAGCAGATAGACAGAGGAGATAAAAAGAGGGCAGTGTGACCGTGAAACCCCCCCCCCCACAAGAAGATTTCCCCTGAGAGCTGCATATACAGTCTGTGGGACAGGCAGACAGAGACACGCCCCGCCAGGTTCCTTCCTCAGCATGTGACCTGTGAAGACCCAGGGCCCTGCTGGAGGAGGGCCCAGTGGAGGGGACGGCCCTGTCTCAAAAAGGGCTGATGATGACCTTGTATATGCAGAGAAATCTGGACACGGACTTGTGTACAGAGGCAGAGATGGCTGGTGACGTCCCCAAGAGGACGAGCCACCTGGGACAGTCTCTCTCAAGGAACCAATCATGCTGAAAAGCACCTGTCTTACTATTGTTATTATCTATATTGGGGGTGAAATCCAGCGCCTGGTGGATTCTGGCTGAACCCTGAGATACTGAGTTATGTCGTTCCACGCTCTTTCTTTTC